AAAAATAAGAACCAAGAGACATTATGTAAATGTGCAAATTTCCAATGATGAATGTCATTATATTGTATACCTAAAATGTACCAATAAAATTAAATTTAAAAAAAGATGCCGGGACATTAGAAGAGTTCTTGGTATTTGATTAGTATCAAATAAATTTTGAATTCAGACATTATGAACAAGTTTGATTCAGTGTTTTCATTTTAAATATGTGTGCTTTTTAGTGTCTCTACTGATGTAACTATACCATTCATGACACAAACAAACTTCCATTGTTACGAGGCATCAGTGAAAATTGAATTATTTTCTTAATGTTACATGTTTGTTGACTATCTCCCTGTTTTTATACTTGTTTCTCCCTCAATGCCTGGTGCTGAGCAATATGAAATATATTCATAAATGCTGTGTGTATTTCCTGCATCTTTGTGTCATGACACCCACTGATTTGGCCCAGGTCAGAATCCACAGTAAGAATATTCCTAAAGGCTTTTATTACACAAGGATGAGTCACCAAAACATACAAAATTGTGACTGCAAAACATACTTCACTAATCTCAAACTCAAATTGTTCAGCGTGACTTAGTTGCATTCTCCAATTTCTGACCTTCTAAAGTAACCTGATTTATCTTCACAGAAAATCAAGCTCTAATGGTAATTACTACTTATCACATGGAGATCCTGTATACATGTTGTATTATGAAGTCACTATGTAATCTACTTAACATGTACCCATTACTCTTATTCCTTTTACCTCCATCCGTTCTAGCATCACTACCAAAGTCATTCAAATAATACATTACCTACATTCATCTACCTTGTTAGATCTACAAGATTCATTATAGCTTGTAAAATCATTTATAATGTTTAGCTGATATTCAATGAAATTCTCACTTGAAACCCTTCTTGCTTTTACACAATTTCCTTGTGCAAAGCTACTGCTCCATTGTTGGCCTTTCATTAATTCTCCAATACTCTCTGTACTTCCCTGTACTTTTCCTCTGTAATTTCAGTCTTTGCTCAAGCACATGCTTCCCTTAAACTGCAAGTATGTTCAAGACCATCCTCAGACTGACCTGGTTGCTCGGTGATTTCTCCTTTCTCCAAACTCCTGTTGTTCTTATTATAATAGTCATTTGTTACTTAGCACAAATGTTGTTTGCTTATAGTCTTCAAAATATGGACTTTTTCTGTAATATAAATTTGTATCTCTTGAATCTTAAATTGTTTTTCTAATCTCATTCTCTACATATGCATGCTATCCACTTGTTGAAAATGTGACATGAACATTGACAATAAATAGAATATTTTGAGACACAATTTATCTATGACTAGTTAATTATTTGCTATTTGCATTAATAGAGGTCTGATACTATTTTATAGTTTTGTTATTAAGTAACAGTTTTTCATATATTTTCATGTATTCTAAGTATATTTTTAGTAAATTTTTATGTTTTTAAATTATTGAAGCATAAAAGGGAAACAAGAACACTCAATTGATATTTTAGCCATCTGTCTTTGAAATCAAATAGAAAGAACTAACGTCCACAAAACACATCTGAAAGATATTTGTTAAGATGCATTCAAGAGCATTGTTTCTACATCAATCAGAGTGGCAACTTACATTCAACAATTGCAAATAAGATTAAAATATGCATAATTTTAAATGGTCTGTAATTTTATATGTGTGTTTATACAGTAAAAACTTTAAGCAATATTTATGTATGGTTATAAAACAAGTGTGAAGCATACATTAAAGTGGACCTGCAAACATTTTTATTACATGAGTTATTGCACTTAAATTTATATACATTTAACAGATAAGTAGGAAACCATTTGAGAGGCAGAGTTAAAATTACAATTTGGGGAATTAAACCATTGGATTTGACACTTAACTCTAGCAATGTCTTCTGACCTTGAAGGAGTGTTTTAAGTGTTCTGTGACTCGGTTCATTTATTTTATATGCTTGAAATATTTTTGTTTCATTATGCTGTCACAAGTATTAAATAAATGTTTCTAGATCTGTGCCTGGTATTAACACTCGGTAATATTATTTTTGATGATATTATAGAATAGTCTCTGAGCATTATTTAAGTTAATACTCGTATTGGGTAAGAAACTGGTATTAAAGATCTAAATTAGAGGAAATATTTGGATTCATTATTTAGATAAAACTGCCAGGTGTGGTGGTGCATGTCTGTGATCCCAGCAGCAAGAGGCAGAGGCAAGAGCATTACCGTGAGTTCAAGGCCAGCCTGGGCTACTTAGTGAGATCAAGCCCGGCATGAACTACAGAGCAAGATCCTGTCTCAAGAAAAAAAGAGGTATTTAAATAAAACTAACAAAAAATAAAGAGGAAATTTAATGCACTACCTTGTCAACATATATGCTACAGGTGAAAGGAAAATTAACGTCAAAATGAAAGCTGAGATCGTATTTGCTCAATTTTTCACATGTGGCATTTTATTTCTTATTTTTCTCAGAATAAAAAACCAAATCTCATTCTTCAAAACTTACTAAGTTTTGAATGTGAAAGCCGAAAAAGGCATGAAGTAGAATGGGAAACAAAAGGATAAAGCAGGACATTGCATATGATAAAATGACCAAAAGAAAAAGATATCATAATTCTAACTAGGCATACAAAATACCTTTGTAATTTTAAAGATATAAAGAAAGATAGACAGAATTAAAGAGAAATAGACAAGTCCAAAAGCATATTGGGAGAATTGATATGCTCTTTTAGTACCTAATAGAATAATCAGACAAAACCATAATAAAAATATGGATTATTTGAATAAAGGAATTACAAACTTTACCTACTGATAGGGAAGAATATTGACTACATCATGAGCCATAAATACTTATCAAATTTTGAATACTGTGATTATTTAGAGCATGCCTTCTGTTCACAACAAAATTAAACAATAAATTTAAAAAATAACTGGAAACTCAGTACCCAGAAGTGGACACTTTAGAAGAAATTAAAGGGGAAAAAAGGGACTGTAGCTATTGTGATGTGACAAGCTTAGGGATACAATAGACTCACAGGTCTCTAGCTTCCTGATTTATGACAAAAGTGACAATATAGGAGGACAGTAGAAAAGAATAATACTTTCAGAAAATAGTCCTAGAAAAATTAGAAGTTCACATTTTAAAAAATGTGCCTGGAGATCTTTATTATACTATATACAAGGGTCAATTACAGGTATACTGGAGGTCTTCAATGTGAAACAAAAAATCGTGCTTTTAGAGAACAAGCATAGTGACCTGGGGATAGGTAAAGGCTTCCTTAAGGAGCATACAAAATATGCTAATTATAGAAGAAAAAAATAAAAGTTTACATTGTCTTAGTTAATTTTGTTTATTGAAATCTATGTGTCTTAGTTGCTTTTTTTGTTGCTGAGACAAAATACCCAACACCCAAAGTTAGAGGAGAAAAGATTTATTGTAGTTCTCAGTTTGTAGAGGTTTCAGTTCAGAGCTGGCTTACTTCAAAGCAGGTGGCATGGCGGAGGGGCATCACAGAGAATAAACAGTTCATGGTAGGCAGAAGTTAGTGAGGCAACAAGCAACAAGCCTCTTTCTGTCTCTTACATCTTATCCAGACTACCCACCCTTGACTAGCACTCACACCTTAAATCCACATCCTTGATCCCAGCATCACACACCCTAGATCCACCCACCTCTAAAAATTTCCACCTATGACTGCATGAGGCTTAGGGGAGACATCTAGATACAAGTCATAACACCAGTAACACCGAGTAAAAGTATTTATGCTACATATGCCCAGAATGTTCTCTTCTCTAGAATATTTAAAGAATTCCTACAATGGGATAAGTAAAAGACAACACAATAGAAAATTTATGCAAAAGATCTGAATAGTGGTCCACCAAAGACTTTTGATGACTAATTAGGATATGAAAGTTATCCAGAATTGCAAGGACTAACATAACCAAGTGTTGTTGAGTATGTGAAGCTACTTGAGTGCTGCTGCTGCTGGATATATCAAATGCAGAAAACTGTCTGTTGCTATCTATTACACCTAAGCAAAAATGTTCCCCTAATATTTCACTCCTAGGTATCTTAGTCACCAGAAACGTGTACACATATATACCAAAACTCACATAATTCAATGTTCACAGAAACACTATTTGTATTAGCTCTAAACTGTAATTAACCAAATATCTGTAAACAGCACACATATAAATTAAAATGTGGTATATTCAAACATGGAATATTACATAAATTTAAGAATTAGCAATCTTTAACTACATCCAACAAAATGATTATCCTAAACATAATTTTTACTGAAAGACTATAAACAGAAGAATAAATAATTTGTTTTCCACTTACACAAAGTACTCCAAAGCCCAAGTTCTTAGACATGGGGATAGCAGTCACCCTGCGTGGGTGAGGGAGGAAGGGGGGACCAGACTAAAAGACACTACTACTAAAGTTTTCTTGGAGACAGAGATCTTCAGGGATTTGACCCGGATGTTGGTTGCATAATTGTCTTAACTTGAGTATTCAGCAAATCACTTGTTTATTTTCTTTCTATGCATATTGTACCTCAATACAAAGTTTAAGAAATCAGCATTTCATTTTTGAGCCAGTTGCTTTACACACATACATAAACAATTTTTAGAAGGCTAATTTCATGACTTTCCAGAAAATCAAGGTCCCTAATCAGTCAGCAATGGGTACGTTCTTGGCAAAATTTGTTCATGTCGTCTGGGTGTTGGTTGTGGAAACATTGCTCAAGCTCAAGTTCTGTAAATGATTTTTAAAGAACTTTCCTTATTTTCTGTTCTGTGGTTGACACAAAATAGGACTGAATAGTTTGAGTAATTGGAGGGTTTATGAAATCCAAAGTCTATCACCAGCTGCTCCTCCCCACATTCCACAAAATTTGAGCTTGTTCCAAAGGGGAACATGCCAGGGTTTACAAGAACAAATCAAAGAGCAGGGCACAGTATTAACATTCAGTGGGAGTGCAGTAGGAATCCGGATCAAATCTGGCACTTCTGGGGATCCTGGTTTGTTCTTTCTGTTTATTTTGCAAAAGTTTCTAATGGGAGGAGCATCTGGTAATCCCTTATTTCCCAAGTTGTGTTTCAACTTCCTTTAGAAGCAAATATTTTCCTGCAGTAATCATAAGTTTTAGCAGGGAAGAACTGGACAGTGAGAGCTCTTTTGAAAATACATTTATGCCTAAAAGATCTAAAACATGAGGCTACCAGCAACGATTATTTGGTTTACAATATGGACTGTTTGTGTGGCAGAAGGTAAGAAGAGTAAATGAGAAAAACTCCTTTTCCCCCATAACAATATTAAGAAATATTTGCTGATGATGTTTTTCACAGTGATTTTTGTCTAAAAATGTGATTTAATTAATAGCCTAAGTAGCTTAGTATTTGAGCAATTTTTCACATTTGTAAGCTTAAAAATATAATTGGCCTATTTGAGTGGAATATCTGATTACTCATCATAATTTTACTTAATGTAACATTTAGAAAATGTTTTAATAATGTTTCTAAAAACTAAAATAATGTTTCTGAAAACTAAAATCATTTTCCTTGTCCTCATCATAAAATACAAACTTTTTTGCTTAGTAGTTTCCCCAAAATGTTGTATGTGAAAGTATTAAGAACTATGTGAATATATATATAGTAAATAAAAGCTTTTAAATCATATGATTGAATTTATATCAGCTATAACTTTAACTCTTCCTAAGATAATTTGTGACTTATAACTTTATTAACATGGTCTTATAAGTATTATACACAAGAATTACTTGTATGTTAAAATAGAAAGATTATACAAATTTGAAACACAATTGAATATACAGTATTTGTAGCATCTAACTTTTTCTATTTGTTTCTTTTTTTCTTGTGGATATATACAAGGTATAGTCTCTCAGGTTAGTCTTTTGGATCAGTAAATGTGAGTGTTAGAGGTTTTCTTTGGTACCAGTAAAACACATTCTGAATTTATAATTAACTTTAATTCTATCAATATTTCTCAATAACTTAAAAGTTATCACCAGAAGGAGTTGGTTATCTTAGCTCATGATAGGCAATTAGTCATGTAATTGATCAAAACTTTTATTCCTACTGAGTAGTATGTCATTTGTAAGTTCCCAAAAGTTTTTAATAAACCAATTTTTATTATTTGTTCAGTCGCTCATTGACTCATTAATTCATTTTGGTACTGGGGATTGAAGCAAGGAAGAGTTGAAATACATCCCTGCCCTTTTTCATATCTGAGACTGTGTGTTGCTGAGTTGCCCAGGCTGGCCTCAGACTTGTGGTCCTCCTGCCTCAGCCTTCCAAATAGCTGGGATTATTGCCACCTTCTGCAAAAGCCAACACATTTTGTTTGGATAGGCCCTAAAGAATATTACCAAATATCAGAAAATCCCCATCATAGATGGTCTTCTAATCTAGAAAATAAAGACAAATGTGTCTTTTGGTTATATCCTTTTGTAATTAAAAAATTATTTATATTTGTTAAATATTTTGAAAGATTTTTTTTTCAGTTATATTTTCTAATATTTTATGGCTTGATTTTTACCATATAAACCCAATATCCAGCCACTTTTAAAACCAGGTTGATAACAAATTAATTGCACACATAAATGTAACTACTATTAAAAATGAAATACCGTATTGGAAAAGAGTTCAAAAACAATCTTAATATTACCAATCAGAGAAAACATTTTTTCTTTTTCCTTAAATAAAAGTTTAATCTTTTCTTACTTTAAAGGAATTCTCTTACCGTTTTACTATTTATACACCAATTGTTGAACTTTCATGCAGATATTTATCATGTAAGGAACATTTTTTATAGCTAAATTTTCAAAATCAAGAATTGATGCCAATTGAAACCAAACTGTTGAGTAATTACAAAGTGGAATCTGAAATATTAAATAAAATCCTATGCAGTATATGTGATAATTAAATAATAGTGATTTGAACTGCTTGTTTATATAATTGATTCCAGCTGGCTTGTTTCACTTGCATTTTATTTTTTATTAGTATGGGTTTAAAAGTGATATCACTTTCTGTTGGTGAATTGAGCAATAGTGCTATACATATTACAGGGAAATGACTATATAACTGGCTCTTTCCCCTAACAGATTAAATGCAATTTTAGCATTTAAAATTTTTCTTAGTTTCATAATGTTCATAAAAACAAATTTAATACACAAATCAGTAGAGAAAAAATTCATGAGATTTCCTTTTTTATTCCTTATTTTCAGATAGCCTCTGAAACAAAACTAGTTTAAAATGCCAACAATTCCATCAGTCTATGATGCCTAACAGAAATTTACTCATCAGAATAGCCTTGCTCCCTGAAAATATAGACATATACTCTAATATTTGCTTCTGTTACTTCTCACATTAAACAGTGAGTACTAAATTGAGAAATTGAGAAAAAATGGTTTTGAACACTATCACTATTTGCTTTATTTAACTATGCACAAAATTTAAGCATTTCCAAACTTTTTTCTGCACTGTTAGGAACGAACAGTCTTCAAAAAATAATATTATTGCTAAAAAATAACAAGAATCAACAGGAAAACTTATAAGCCCAGCTTTTTCTTTGTTTTCCCATTTTAACATATTGAGACCATGTAGCAGCTTTTGAAAGCATTGCATTGTCTGCATTCAGGTTCCTAATTGTATAGGAACATTAGTTGCTTGCTCTTGGGAAAATATCTTGACTCTGGGAGTAACAACAGGCTGCCAAGAACTGGGTCAGGTTTATAGGACAAAATTTCAAACTTTATATTTTCAGTTTTTTATGACCAAGTAGAACTTTCAGATTTGGGGCCTAACAATTAAATACTGTGTGAAATTAGGCTACAGCCTGGAAATTCAAGGATAATTAAAGTGAAAAATTAAAGATGTACTGAAATATGTCCAATATTAGCTATTTCTTTTGGGGGGCAATAGTTGTTTTCTAATCCTAGATGTTTAGATGCAGCCAAAAAGAGTTCTTTGAGGCCTGCCAAAACATTATAGATCAAAGATTGAGGGATTCCATGTCAGAGAAAGGAGAATTCCAATCAGAGAAAGGAGAATTTATTTTTTTATATATTATATGCAAGTACAAGATGATTTCAAATTTGTGCTAACTCTAAAATAGAAAAAATAAGTATTATATTTTGAAACTAAGTATAAATCAGTAAAATTTTCTTTATAAAACACATTAACAGTATTACTCTTCAATAATGGTTATTATCCTAAATTTTATATTTAATTTCAGTGCAATAAATAAAATCTTCCTCTCTTGCCTCTCTTCAGAGCTAGTGCTGTGAATATTTATCTCTATGGTGAGATTTAGAGCTATGCAGTATCCCAGTTGCCTTCAATATCTTCTCTCCTCCTAAAATACTTTTCATGTTGATATTACCACAAATTCAACCAACCCATACTTTGCATGGGATGACAAATACTCTCAATAAATATTTGAAGCTACCTAAATTTAGCATTATTCTACATAGTATACTGTGAATTATTATAATCTCAGACCTTCCCTGCAACAAGTTTAGTGGTGAGGGTAGAAATGATGATGAGGGTAAGGATAGCGCGAATTAATTCTGGAAGATGAGGTATTTATTCCTGGATAGAGTAGACCTGGTGGATGAAATGCTACAGTGAAAGACAAGGGGTAGAGAAATTGCCTGCAGGAATGTTCTGAGAGTGAGTCGGGCTAAGGCAAGCCTTGCTTACTGTAACTTTAAGTTTACCAAGGCAATGGATATGCTACTCTGAAGCCTGCTTATAAATATAGAATATTTTAAGTACTAAAAACTAGAATTATTCTAAGGTAAATTCCCACATGAAAGTTTGAAATAAGGTTAGCAAGTAATCTTTATTTTTGGCATCTGGTTGTTAAGGTCTGATTCCCAGTCGACATTGATCTGTTTTTATTGGCTCCGCCTCTGATCATTGTGCAGTCTCTGCAACTTTTCGTTCTTTCCCGCAATGCCTCCTCCACCTGGGCACCCATGCCATCCTTTGAGATTCCGCCAACCAAGCTATCCCATGTTTAGTTACCCAGTGTTTACCTCACCCATTTCTTCACTTTAATAAGTTTCAGGGCACAGTGCATGAAAATGGCATGAGGTAACTGGAAAAAATAAGCTTAAAACTTTTAGCTTAAAACCATAAGGAAACAGTATAAAATGGCTCCGAGAAAGTTAAATAACAGAACAGAAAAAAAAAAAGAGAGAGATAATAAAATGAAAAGAACATAAAGATTTGCCAAAGCATTTTTATTTGTTTTGACATTTTAACTTAGAAAGCCAAGTTTCTCATAAACCTTGTTAACTGGAAATGTAATAGATAGAAAAGTGATTATGGTAATGTTCCTTTGAAGGATGCTGAAAGTGTATTTTTTGGACCTACTTTAAAAGGTATAACATAAATTCAAACTTGGGACACATGAACCAGCTGTACAATGGAATTATAGAAATTAGGGTTTCTAAGTTCATGCAATAGAGCTTTCAAGTGCACCAAGCAGTTGTTCTCTTGTTTTCTTTTGTGTTTTTACCACAGTGTACTAATGCCTGTCCATTTTGGCCGTAATCTACATGTATAATGAAAAGCTCTCCCTTCCTTCCTTCCTTCCTTCTTTCCTTTCTTCTTTCTTCTTTCTTTCCTTTCTTCCTTCCTTTCTTCTTTCCTTTCTTTCTTCCATTCATTCAGTGACCACTCATTGATTTCTAAGTGTTCAAGAGCACTATTCAAAAGGCCACATAGTGAAAAAGACAAAAGGAGTGAATGTCATACTTTAGCTTATTAATGTGTTGTATTTTACCATATTAACTTGTTACTGAGGTAAAGAAATGATACAGTACTATAGAATAATTCAAATAAAGCAGGACACTGAAATTGGATGAATGGATAAGTTAGGATGGGGTTAAGAAGTTGCTTTGTAAAAGGTGGAATAAAGAGAAATAGGTCAATATTGAGATGATATCTTGGATAAGTTTGGAAGATGAATACAAGTTAGCCAAATGAGGAGAACAAAGAGGATGCCTCCCTTGGGAGGATGCATCCTCCCAAAGAAGGATATTAAGGTAGGATAGAAGAAATAAAGAGAGGTAGAAAGGACACAAGGAACATTGTAATTTTAAAACTGTACTGTAGCTAAGAGTGGTGGTGTAGGCCTGTAATCTCAACATTTGGAAGGCTGAGGCAGAAGGATCATTGGAAGTTCAAGACCACATAGTGAGTTCAAGACCAGCTTGGACTGTGTAGCTAGATCCTGCCTC